GTGACAGGGGAGGTGACTGTGACTGACTGTGACAGGGGAGGTGACTGACATGGGAGGTGACTGTGACTGACTGTGACAGGGGAGGTGACTGTGACTGACTGTGACAGGGGAGGTGACTGTGACTGACTGTGACAGGGGAGGTGACTGTGATTGACTGTGACTTGGGGGGTAACCAAAATAGCAGAAGATCCCTACTGGCATTGGTACCGTCTTGTAGAAGTTGGGGATATTGTTGGTGACTCTCACAATACGTTCTCGTTGTAGAAAGTTGCTAGATTGCCCGTTTCCTGCAATAGGCCATGCTCCCGTTTGACCCCTATGTGCCTTCATTGTGGGTTGGTCGGCAATACATTTTTACCTACTGATTGATCAAAATCTGGCTTGCCATGATCGCAAACTTTTTGTGCCAGTTACCTCCTTTCTTTCCTTCACTCATTTCTTTCTGTCTATCTTCGGATTGTTGCCGTTACTGGACAATCTGTGCGTTGATCAAGTAAACAGACTTGTGATTTTAGACGGAAAATTACAATCAGAAAGAAACTTTTTTTGCCAGTTTGTCTAGATGTCGAGAAAGTGTCAGCGTGATGGTTCTATGTAGGGCTACCATCATAGATAGTTCCTCTAAAACAAGGCATACAGCTTCATACTACTGAAATCGAGAATAATTCCAAGTGGTCTTCCCAGATTCTGACTTGCGATTTTCAAACAGGAAAATGGAGGACAAATTGATTAGGGTGTGCTGGGCAACTGTATTGTCAAGGTACATGTTTGTTCATTATTCCCAGGTTTGTCTTCAGTCAATGGTGCTAGGACAAATTAATTGAATACTGGGGGGATAGTAGCAATGGCAAGGGAAACAAGTTTTTAAATATTGCCAGCAATGGAAAGATAGGTGAAGAAATCGAACAAGACAAATCTTCATGAAAAAAATAAGTATGGGTTGTTGGCAATCTCTTCTGACATACTCCCAGATGCCGTTTTCTACCTTCCAGAAGCACAAAATTTCCGTTTCTTCTGGATTGACTGTAGGTTCCTGTTGTGAGCTTGTTTTTTTTCTCCTTTGTCCCAGAATTGCTTTGTACGAGAAGAACGTGTCGCAGGGCGTGTCGCAGGCGTGTATGTTGATCGACAGCGACGATGAGGACGTGACCATCACTGGCTCCACACTCAGCAGCTCAAAGACACAGCTTGTACACAGGTCGGGGAGTGTTTGTGTGTGTGTCTGTCTGTGTGTTTGTATAATGTCAATTTTTGTACATGTGTATGTGTCTGTAGGTTTGTATAATGTCGGCAACTTCTTTTAATCGGAGCCCAGAAAATAAAACTATTTTTAGAAGAGAGAAAAGAAAAACTGTTTTATTTTTTTAACACTGCTCTAGATTGTGTAAGACCTGCGTTGTGTGAGACCTGCGTTGTGTGAGACCTGCGTTATCTTCCACTCCCTGGCCCTGCTCCAGACTGTGAGACCTGCGTTGTGTGAGAGCTGTGTTGTGTAAGACCTGCGTTATATTCCTCTCCTCAGGGCTGCCCCGGCCATGCCCCCCATGGACGAGCTGCGCTCCCAGTTTGCCAACGCGGTGAACAAGTCGATGCCGGGTCTCCTCAACTCCCTGCCGCCCCCACCCGTGGCTGTGAGTGGAGATGTCTCTGTGTGGCTGTTTGAGTGTGCGGCTGGTGGTGCTGCTCTGGTGTGCTCTCCTCCTTCTGTCCTATCAAACATCTATCCTCCTTATCCCTCCTCCTTCTGTCCTATCAAACATCTACCGTCCTTATCTCTCCTCCTTCTGTCCTATCAAACATCTATCGTCTTTATCTCTCCTCCTTCTTTCCTATCAAACATCGATCGTCTTTATCTCTCCTCCTTCTGTCCTATCAAACATCTATCGTCCTTATCTCTCCTCCTTCTGTCCTATCAAACATCTATCGTCCTTATCTCTCCTCCTTCTGTCCTATCAAACATCTATCGTCCTTATCTC